TTGCTGAACCAAGTTAACGCGAACGGAATCATTTCTTAGTCAACTGCCATGTTGTATACATTTGTGTGTTGTGCTGCTTTCCAATTTTCTTTTCCAATTTTATTGTACTGTGCCTTTTTTTCTCTTCGTTAGTCCTTAGTTATGGCTCCAAAGTAATCTAGCAATGATACTGGTAAAGGAAAAAGAAAAGTTAAGAGAAAAACAATTGTTGATGATATTGTCTCTTCCTACTCAGTTTCATATGCTAAAATCAATGATCTATACTATTCTTATTAATAAAGAGATGATCATGTCTTTCCTTCCCTTTTTCAAACAATAACATCTATTTCTTTCCCCTTTCACTTACACCATCAACTTTCCTACATGCAGGTACGATAAAATTGAAGTGTTTGTATTTTATCTGTTTAGTATTGGGTTTATTTCTTTTTTTCTTAGATTTAATGATTTTCATTAGTTTATGTATTATATGATTTTCATTAGTTTTGTGTATAAACTTGTGCACAAAGTACTGATGTTAATGCTTAAATAAGCAATCATCTTGAGACCAGGAATGGATTAATCTATTTTATATTGATTCCTATTGGAAAAATAGTTTCAGTTTATGAACATTTCGGGTTATGACTGGGCTTCATGAACAAAATAAATTTGTGAACCGAGGTTCCACTGTATTTCATTATTTAATTTTTATTAAAGAGATCAATTTTATATTTATTATTTGTGTGTGAGCAACGAGGAGGTCTTAGAGAGGATGCAAACAAGGAGGAGGCTTATACTTAACATGAGGAAGAGGCAGCTGAAGTTCCTGGAACACATAATTAGGAAGGAGGGCCTGGAGAATCTGAAACTCACAGGTTGAATAGAGGGAAAGAGAGACAAGCGAAAACAACACATGACATACTTAGCAGACTTAAGCAAGTGGATGACAGAATGTGGTCTGGGAGAGGTGGCAGAATGAAGGAACTTGTTGAAAGCTGCAAGGGAAGTCGAGAGCCATGATTGGCTATGTCCTGAAAAGACATGGCGCATAGAAAGAAAAGCGGCATATCAACTTCTTATGGGTCATTTAATGCCAAAATTTAATTTTTTTGGAGCATTAGTAATTTCTTTTGCAAAAATGTATTGCTGATAATATTTTCTCTTTTATAAAAATGTGTTGCTGGTAATTTTTTTTTCTATAAAAATGTATTTTTATACTTTCATAGCGTTTTGACCTCAGTTTGGGGGTTAAGTATTTGCCCATTGCTGGAACCCTAACAGGTCTGGGTGGACTTGGGAACAACAGAACTTAACAGGTGGTTCCAAGCTCCTCAAAATCTCCCAATCAGAGGTCATGCTGCCTGATGCAGTTCATCATCATATGCAGGATGAGCCAATTGTTTTGGTCAAAGTACTCAATGTTCATTCTTCATTTAAGATTTCTTCATCAGTCATCACTTGGCCGATAATAGATAATTTATCTGCAGATTATCTAGGCATGTGTCATCACTTGGCTGATAATAGATAATTTATCTGCAGATTATCTAGGCATGTGTCATGCAAATTTTTGGGAAATATTAGCAATAATTTAAAAAAAAAACTTTTAAAAATTATGTTTTAATAAAAAAAACAATAGGAAGATGGTTGTTATGAATTTTGAATGCAATTCAAAATAGCAGGAAGACGAGACAGCAATAACCTTAAGAAGGGCTTTATTCAACATAGAAATAAAGCAGAATGACGTTATCAGTCTCCCCACATAATGTTGCTCTCTTCAGAATACAGCACAATTTACAAAGAAAAAAAAATATGTTCATTTACATACAAAACATTAGTTTACATAAAGAAGAATTTGCATTACTCAAAAGAATGTTCATTTGCATAACAGGGGTTAACCTATAATTGCTGGATTTTCAGGCCTACTGATTAGGCATTCGTGATCCTAGATCATGATTACAAAATTGGAAAATAAAAACAAGAATTATACTGAGATATAAAATAATCTGAGAAAATGTATAATATTTAGAAAAATCATGTTTATTTATATTTTCTTGTTCTTTAGTTCACGGGCATTTTTAGAAATTTATGAATAAAAAATTGTTTTTATAATTATTTAATGATAAAATGGTTGGTTGGTGGATTTTGTTTAGCAGCATATCAACACCTCTATGGGTTATTTAATGCTGAAATCTAAATATTTTGTACATAATTTTATTTTTTCAGTGGGGTAAAGGTATGTATTTTTTAGATATATAGCTTGTAGATAATGAAATATATTGTTGGTAATTTTATTATAAAAAAAGTATTGCCGATAGTTCCACTACAAAAATGTATTGTTGCTCATTTTATTGTAAAATTGTAATTAATTTTTGTTTGGGGATTCACTATTTAGCTATAGCTGGGATCCTAACAGGGGCTACCACCCTGGATCAAGGTGAATCTGGGAACGATAGCAATCAAGAGGTGGTCCAACACTCCTCAAAACCTCCAATTTTCTGATTGAACGCCTTCCTGCAGGAAGTTATAAAATGGCAAATAATAAATTTTGCATTGTAGTTGATTCACATTTTTTTATAATCTTATTAGTAAGGTTTCATCATTTTACTGTTGAAATAGCTAGATGAAACTGCAAATTCTATGCTAATAGTTTCTTGTACATGTTTGCTTGTGGAACTTTTTTTGGGTTTTTTTTTTGCTTTCTTTCTAATGATGATCTTAAAAAATTTAAATGTCTGTTGTCATGTACTATCCCCTTGAATTTTGTACTTTTATTGTCTTATTTTATTTCCCATTTTCTTTCACTCTCAGTAACCCAAAAAGATTGAAAGTACTTGGGTTAGAAAAATCTATTCCTTGATGAATTTTATCTTAACATCAAGAAACTGATTAGAGAACTGGAATGGATTGTTATAAAAATAGACATGATATGTCTATATTATTCAAGGAATCATATATATATATATATATAAATATAAAAGTGAACGTTGAAGTCAACACTCAGAGGCGACAGGCTGTTTCATGCTGGACGTAATCGTCATATATTTACATACGCTCAATCTCTGATATTGAGCACTTTATCCCATAAATATAGCACACCTTAAAACTATATTTCTTCACACACATATATATATCACCATATTTGATTCATCAGAAATATAACTTCTTGATGCTATCAGCATATGGAAGTGAACCCAGTGTGTATCAGCTTTGGTAATTGTTTGAAAATCATATCTTGAGTTAACCCAAGCCTTATAGAGTGAAATTGGGTAGGCAGAACAGCTCTGTTGATGGCTGTGCTAGCATGAAGTGAGGTCATAAGAATTTGAGCACTGACCTTGTTCAAACTTTTGATCAAGTGACACACTATGCACTCCCTCCCAGAAACCAGAAACAAGGTCTGCATAGTTGCAATATAAATCACAGATGCGCTCTGTGAAAAAAAGAAAAATGTGCCTGAGCGGGCGTCAACGCAACAGGGACTAGCTAGCCGCCCCAGCAGGTAGGGTACGTGTGTCCGTTCGCGCATGCGCCTGTTGATCCTATTTTGTGTGAATTTTTGACACGTTTTTCTTTTCTTTTTGGAATCTTTTTTTTACAGTACACGTTCGCTATTGTAATTGTTGAATTTGTATAGCCAAAAGCCATAGGATAGATCGATCGAAATATTCTGGGAACAATAAAAAGGATTAGTTTTAAAACAGCTCTTAGATTGATAATGTATCGTCCCAAAATTACAGAATGTAAGTTTCATTAATCAGTAGGACTCGATTCAATGTTTTGAGGCCCATAAAAAATGAACTAAAAAAAAAGGGTTCAATTCAATTTCAATATGGCCTTGTCTTCTCCAATACTAAAAATAGAAGTACAGAACAGCTTTCTTATAAGAAGAAAAACAAGAATTCTTTAACAGTGAAAGCAATAAAATTTGGAAAATTATTCGCGAAAGGAGATGCAAAAAAAAATAATTAGTTTTTGTCACGTGTACCTCTGAGACATGTTGTCATGCCACAGTCGTATTTATCAATTAGTCAAGCCTGTCAGTCTGTATATCATTTAGTTACGTCTGCCTAAACGTTTTCATTTAGTCATGTCTATTTTTTGCTTATCTTTTAGTTATGTCTTTTCAATGTTATTATTTTTATTCATTTTGATTTTGTATTCTTTTTGAGAAAAGACTACTTTTTAATATTTTAGTCCTCACTTGTCACAAATGTGTTTTATACTAGTTTTATAAAAATTCAGCAGTAGATTTATCAATTGCGTATATAAAATTTATTCATAAACTAAAAAGATAATGATATTTAACCCCTTAATTTAAAAAAAATTATAATTGATACACTTAAGTTAAATATTTTTTAAATATTGAAGCTTGAAAATTAGCCCAAACGTTTTACTAGTTACTTCCCTTGACTCACGACACTCAGTTGCCTGGAGATATTCGCAAAAAATAGTACATGTCAGAGTGTCGAAATTATTATTTGGATTGAAATAACCATGATTATTAAAAAATTGCTCATGTGCATTTAGAACTAAACTAAGGAAATATGTGCAGTTTTTTTTTTGTATGGCTTAAGCATTATCCATTAACAGTAAAACGTGTTTGCGGAAGATGCTTTCACCGTGTAAAGTAATTTCTATTTAGTGTAGGCGGTGAGCCGGTTGTGAAACTAAGATATTCATACGCCAGCCGCTAGGCTTAAAAATTAGACAGGAGTAAAATTACGATAAAGAAATTTTATTTAAGAATTGCGATAAAAGAAAATGTTTTTAAGTAGAAATTTGATACTTGTAAGAAAGAATCGATAAACAAATTGTCAAGTGGGAGGGAACTGTAAAAAGTAATAAAGCCAGCGAGCGAATAAAAATGTATCTGTAAGTCAAGTGTTAAGAAAAGAAAGAAACGTGATTTTAGTGCGGGAAAGAAAGAAGCAAGGGAAAATATTTTTTAAATAAATGTTAATTCAGAGCAGTGAAGACAGAGGAATCTAAATAGTCGTGAGAAACCCAGAATACGCGAGGAGAAATTAAAATTGCTGCTGAGAAGAAAAGAAAAAAATAATATTTATGAAAAGAAGTTTGGAGGAAGAAGAGACGGGGCAATTGAAGAGAAAAAGCATGCTGAAAATATATGAAAGAAAGAAATACAGATGGATGCACTTGACTAAATAAATAAATAAATAAATAGTTTTTTTGCAGTAGAAGATTGTAGAAAGGAGTTCAACGTAAAAAAGAGAAGCAAAAAAAATGTAAATAAAGTTACTTAGAGCAACAAAAGACAGGAAGTTGTGGAGAGCCATGATCGCCAACATCTTGAAAATGCATAGCATATATAAAACAAAATAATAAAGAAAAGATTGAGAACAGAGTTATAAACAAAGAGTACTAATAACAGAGAATAAAAAAACGAGAGAATGGCACTGATTAGGGTTAAGAGGTGAGTAATAGAAGCGAAGAAAGAAGTCAAAGGTTTAATATGGAGGTATAAAAAAATAAGTAGTAAATAAGAGAGAGTAACAAAGAGAGAGTAGATGAGAGAAAATAAAAGCAGCAAGAACGTCACTAAATAGAGAAAAGGAATATGAGAGGGGAAGCTATTTAAAAAAAAAAAAAGGTAAAGAATCAACAGGGGGCGATAATATGGTTGGAGCGTAAGAGAGTGAAAAAAAATGGAAGATAGATAAGTAAATAAAGAGAGCAGTGATTGCGTAGCAGGGGGAGGAGAGTGTCGATAATAGCTAACAAAGAGAGAGGAATCAAGAGTGTAAGCAGGAGAAGGTTGAAAAGTAAAGAGAGGGTTAATAAAGCAGGTAGAAGTGAGAGGAGAGTAGCAGAACCAAATGACTGAGTGGAGGAAAGAGAAGAAAGAGTAAGAGTTAATAGGGAGAGACCGAGAAAACGGGACGAATAGAGAGAGTGGGCAAAATTGGGAGAACGCTAGAAATGGATAGAAAGAGTAAAACATAGCTCGCTGTAGTATAAGACATTCGATGTAACGATGATGCTGGCCCTCATATTAACGACACCCCGGGCAGCAGTACCAAAGCAAGGAATTTCTTTTATAACGCTGACCAACTTGGTTTACTATTGACGTATTCAGCCGCTTGTTTTGTTTTGTAGGCAACATATACATTATATATAAACACACACACACACATATATATATATATATATATATATATACATACATATAGATACACAGACCTATCTATATCGAGATTTTAAAAAAAAGACAATCATTCAAAATTTATTTAATTTTTAAAAAAAAAAAAAGGAGGGAAAACAATAATAACAAACTAGAAAAAAACGTCTTAGAGCTAAAAATCGAGGGGGGGAGCCCCCACTAATATTACTACTTGTCTAAAGTGTAAGTTAGTTAAGAACGAACGGTGCCCCCCCTAGCTGAATGGTCTCCAGGATCATTATACCACCGTACTGCATATTGCAGATCGGGACTAAATATCATGGATGTCGCCTTTAACATCATTTACCTACTGAGCACGCTGTTCCTGGCTTGCTGTCTTGGTAAGTCTTGTGTATGCATTGTTTACTGATATTTCGCTTTTCTTTATGGGGTGGGGAAAATGGGGGGGGTAAAAAAATGGTGAACCCAACATACAAAATAACCACAACCCCTTCGTATTTTTTTTTAAATGTGTTTTTTTTTTTGTAATTCTTGATGATTCCTAAGAATCTGATGCTTCTTAAAGTATATTAGGAGCAACATTTTATCCTGCTATTTTCTTAGGAAATGTCTAAAAAAAGAAAGCTCTATTTTATTTATATCGTATCTTTTCATGCGCGTGTGATGGTAGCGAGAAACTACTATTGCCTGTTTTCTTATTATTACTGTTCTGGAATTTAGTCTTTAACTACCGCCAAAAAAAAAAATAAATAAATAAAAATAATACCCCATCGTAAAAAGAGTGTGTTTTGAAAACCTTTTATGTGTTAAATAGTGTGTGTATGTGTGTACAGCATAGAAAGGGGTTATGTGTAAATATGTGTGTTTTTAAGTCTCCCCCTCTCTTTCATTCAAGAGGGAGTCGCCATTTTGTGTGTTCTACTCTTGTAATGTATGTGCATGTGCGTGTGTTGATCTATACACACTTCCTAAAAAATTATGTAGTTATTTACTTTGGTTTATTTTCATACCTAATTTATTTCTAATATATATATATATATATAAAATATGAGCTTATTTTTAAACGTTCCCTTTTTTTTTGTATATTTATTGTCAGTGTATGTCATTCTTCTTGCACACCAAAACATTTTAATTTTATTTGTTGGACTAGACCCGTTAAAGTATTGTGCATATATATATATATATATATATATATATATATATATATATATAATGATGTGTGTTTGTTCTCGTTACACTTTGTTCATATTTACGCACGTTTTTCTTACTGATGTTTCCACGCGTTTATTACTTGAAAGAGCAAAAAGAATCCCCACCCCCCAAATCTTTGTTAGCTTATTTTTGTATTTATTTACTAATACATTATAGTTAGAATTTCTTACAATCATAGTTTATTCTTTTTTCTTTTTTGTACGATTACTTGTTAATGTTTTTCTCGTAAAGTTCACTTCATTTATCTATCAAGAAACTTTTTTTTTTCTTTTTTTTTTTTTTTTCATCCATTATTCCTTGAATTGAATGACTACAAAAATTAATGGTCATTTTTTCTTTAATAAAATATTATTTTTTTGGTATCAAATGCAGATGTTTAATCCTTCTATATAAGCAAAAAGGAAAAAAATGAAGCTTTTTATGTTTAATTCTGACATGATAATCCCAACTTAAGTTTGTTTATAAACCTACCTAAAAAAGAAAAAAAAAATCCTCCAATAAAACATGTTTTCAAGGTTTTTAAATCTAGGTTGGAGCAGAGATGAAAATGTCTATAATCTTCAAAACAGTTTGTGCAAATTGAAAATTTTATTTAATTTTATGAGATTTTAACATTATTTTCTTAAAGTAAAATATAAATGAATGGTTTATGTTACAAGCTGGACGATCCACATTTTCTAATTTTCATAGATTGCAACTTAAATACTGGCAGGTTTGATAAATTGAAGAGATTCGCTTTCTAAAACCTAACTGATTATTTCTTTTAGTCTGAGGAAATTTTGAATTATTTAAAATATATATATATATATATTAAAAACTGGGGTATAACTATTTTAAAAATGTAGGTACGCACATTAAATGACCAGAAAACACGCTACCTGCTTTTCCTCGTTTGTGGCGGGCGATCCCCTTTTTCCCCCTTTAATTCGGTCGGTCAGAATATTTTGTGTGGTACTTTAAATAAATAATAAAAGCTTTTTAGTTTAGAATATAGTATTTAAATTAGCTATTTAACTAAATTGCATTTAATTTAGGAGTTTGGTAAAATAAAGACATTCTTTGAAATGTTTATTTAGTAATCCCTAAACAAAACATTAATCAGAAATTCTAAGCTTCTTGCTTGCTTGACCTTTTTTTTAGTCAGTTAATGGGAGTTAAGTTTCTTAAGTAAAAACTTTTTTTCTTTAAAAATAGCCTACATTGTTGTTTTGTGTCATTACAAAGATGGTTTTTGACCAAGAAACATGTGTCAATGTGTTAGTTTAAGACAAAAAAAAACAAAAAAAAAAAAACAGTCCTTCTTAATAAGAAAAGAAATAAAAAAAAAAAAAAGTTTCAGAAATTCTTTTTAGTTTTATTTGCCCATGAGGAAATGGGTTTACTTAAATTTTCTGACAGTTTTTCAAGACTAAATGTTTTAATGTTGGGTAGTGATTTATCATTACAATCGCTTTTTAATTTAAAGAAAATTGATTTAATTTTTTTTTGATTTTTTTTTTTTTTTTTTTTTTTTTTTTTTTTTTTTTTTTTGTGGGTAAATATTGTTTTCTAGAGGTTCGTTATAATTTGTAATTTCAAACAACAGAAATATAAAAATTGCGTATGCATAGTTATTTCAGATAGGAACAATAAGTGGTCATTTTTTTAAAAATCACACTTTAAAATCATAATCAGTAAACACTAATTTTTAATCCGAATCATCTAAAAATCAAATTCTAAATAAACATAAAAATTGACATAATGTTGCTGAGTGAATATTTTATTTTTTTTTTTTTTATCACAATAGAAAAAAAAAAAAACTACAGGAATGCTTGACTCGTACCTGCTGGTGTGTATATGCATCTAATGCCCGGAAAATTTGATAATTGGTTGGGGACAGATCCGGTGAATACGGATGGTGGGGATATAGCACTTTGACAACTAACTGCATCAGTTTTTTTATTTTTATTTTCCTGGTGTTTTATAAAGTATGGGGATCTTGCATTATTCTGTAGCAGGACCATCTCATTTCTCTTCGTTGTTGGCAAACTGTAATTTTTGATGACAGTAGAATTTTGCTGTGATGGTCTCACCAAATTGCAATAAGACCAGTCATGGGCAAACTGCAGCCTGTTTTGTCTTTCCAAGTGGCACATTTAATATTGTAAGGTATAAGGAAAATAACATGTCTTAAAATTTTTATTTTGTTTTGTTCTCACTTGTTCACTCAGTCTTTCATATATAACCACATGCATAAGCAATGATTAAGTACAATATTTCTTGAATTTGTGAACTTTTGGGGAAATTAATGTTGTGAGCATTTTAAACCATTGGTGATTTTTCACTAAGGAAGATCATATGTAAACACCTTTTTGCTTTTGAAACAAGAAACGTTCATAAGAATATTTTCTTTTAAAGAAATGTTTTCAAATGAATAAATTAGTAATAAATCTCACACAGCAACATGTGTTAATCACATTGTTATCAGTGATATTATACCTAGACTTTAATTTTTTAATTAAAACAAAAATAATTTCTGAGACATATGCTTATGCATATGGTCTTCTGTAGTGACATTAGCTGACGTACCTACAATGAAAAATTATCTTGAATCTTTAGTATTACAGCCTGTCTTGTGATGAGCCATAGATCATGGGGCCAACTGCTCAAAAAAGGTTGCGCATTCCTGCAACAGACTGTCATGGTTTACTCCAAATGGGCAGGAGGATCTGTTTGGGATTGGATATTTGATTTTTAAAAGATTGAGTGTTTTTATTATCATCTGAAAACCACTTTCCTATTAACAGTAAACAATCAGGAAAAGGGTAATTTTTAAGTGAATGAGCAAATAGCAGCAAGTTTAAAAACATGCAAACTGTTGATTATCAGTCATATCATGGGCTACTTGCATTTTCTTCACTTTACTTATTTGTGCTAGATGACTTTGACTCTTGTATAGTTTGCCCCCCCCCCCATGCTCAAGTATTTGTTCCTGAATGAAGCTTCAGTTGTCTTTAATTCTTCATTATCAAGTGATGACTTATGACCAGGTCCAGTTAGAATTCTAATCACCAGGCGGCTTACAGTTGCATGTTGAAACACCAGTTCATGTGTGATCCCTGGAGTTAAGCAGCATCAATCAATAAAACATATCACCAGAAGTGGATTTTTTTTTTTTTTTTTTTTTTGTCTATTCTGGAGGTAACTCTATTGTCCAGATCTTGATGTTGGAGTTGGCTTCAGTACAGCATTGATAGTTTGAACATTGTTTATTTATCTTTGTTTTGATATGCTGACAAACTAAAACTATTCTGGTAAGTTGGTGAGAAGAAATAGAAAAACAAAATGAGATAGAAATCGTTATTCTATTGTAAAGTTTTAGTATACAGGGTTAAAGGATAATTCTTGGAAGAGTTTGTAAATTTAACCTTTAGCACTCTGCATTATTAATATTACTTCCCCAAGGGTCAATCTGGTAGAGGGTCCACGCACCTAAAATTATGAGAAATTGAATGAGGTGCTCAAAGAGTGAAGACAGATTTAATGCACCTGTTCTTTTGCACATTCACAGGTATTCAGTTAGACTGATAAAATCGTGCACTTGTATGCGATTAAGAATCCACAAAAAT